AGTTTAGTCATTTTTTTTTTTAGATATGATTACTTTTATCGCATATGTATGCGCCGTTTTATTTGGTAATAAGCAATATATACCAACAGGATTCGCGCCCGGTGCAATTTGAAAGTGGATGGTATAAAGTTGGAAGAATATTTCAGGTACAATTTTAAAGGTACCATCACATATCCATATATCCGATCTTGATAATCCTTCGAGTAGTTCGTCCGTGCTCAACATTATAAATCTTAAATAATGCGTTTAGAGCTGGGTATCCACTCGCAGATATCCTTGGATGTTATTTTCATCTAAAACAGAGCGTTAATAGAAAAATAAATAAAAAAGATGTATGAGTCGAATGACGACTTTCGATTGTATAGTAGGTGTTTATCGGCTCTTGCATATGTCCCAGAGGATGATGTTGGAAACTCATTTGATACTTTGGCAGAAATATTTGGTGAATTGAATGGCTCGCTAATTTCCTACTTTGAGAAGACCTTTTTCCGAGGACGTAGAAATCCCAGTAAAAAAATATTTTTTTTATTATAAATTTATATATTTATAGGGCAACGAAATAACTTTGCAGCGCCTTTATATAATGTAAGACTATGGAATAAACACAATTCCACGTTAGAAGGTGTCGCCCGAACAACAAATTGTGTTGAAGGGTGGCACTATGTAATTCAATCCCTATACCAATGTTCTCATCCAACACTATGGAAATTTTTAGATGGGATACAAAGAGATATGCAGAAACATAAAGCTCTATATCTTCAAGTCGTGATGGGAACAACACCGTACTTATCAAAGAAATATGAAGATATAAAAAGACGAATTCAGATTTGTGTTTCAAATTACGGATTGTCGGATTCTTTAATATTTTTAAAAGCTATTGCCCATATTTCGTGCAATTAAATATATTATAAATAATTTATATTTTTTACTCGTGATATATTGATTTATAGTTACTTATTAATAAAAAGTATAAATAGAAAATTATTGCTTGTCTCCTGTTTCCCTATATAAGATGATAATTAAGTTAAAAAAAATTATATTTATGTAAATTAAAATATGAGTTTTTCTCAATAAAAAAAATTAATTTAAATTTTTTAAATATTGGAATTTAGACGGAAGTCAAAAAATGAGATATTATCAAAATTTAATTTTTTCAAATATATTAAATTAAGTTTTAAGTATATCACGATAAAGTGTGGCGTTAACAAAAAAAAATTAATTTTAATTTTTTAAATATTGAAATTTAGACGGAAAAGTCAAAAAATGAGATATTATCAAAATTTTATTTTTTCAATATATTAAATTAAGTTTTAAGTATATCATGATAAAGTGTCGCGTTAACATAAAAAATTAATTTAAATTTTTTAAATATTGGAATTTAGACGGAAAAGTCAAAAAATGAGATATTATCAAAATTTAACTTTCGCGTTATCAAATGACTGAGTGATAAAGTGTCGTCGTGATAAAGCGTCGTCGTGATAAAGTGTCGTCATGATAAAGTGTCGCATGATAAAGTGTCGTGTGATAAAATGTCGCTAGGCGGTTAGGAGCACTTTTGGATCCTCGTTTTCAATCAACAAACATATTAAATGAATATTTAAAGGAAAAAAATATTACTCCGGTTAAATTTTTATGTCAACACGCTACCTCTCTACGGTCTTACACGGACGAATTAAACGAATGTAAAACGACGGAAGTTGCTTCAAAACTCGATTATCTTAAGTCATTGGCTACGAAGCATTCATCTATTTAAAACAATAACCTGGAACAACAACACTATTTAACTAGTTTAGAAAAAGAGTGTTATTCATTATTTTCGCCTTATAATTTGGAGATAAAAAATGTCTTAGATTTTTGGAAGATAAGAGCATTGGATCTTCCTAAACTTTCAATATTAGCTAGAAAGGTCCTGTGCGTTCCAGCTATAAGCACACCCAGCGAGCGTGTATTTTCTATAGCTGGGCTCACTCTGAACTCTAAAAGATCATTATTATGTCCTTTAAATCTTAATAAAATAATATTTATTCATGATAATTATAACTTAATAAAATCTTAAATTATAGTTATAAACATAATAAAGTATAAATTTTATTTTAAAAGTGTTTCCAATGAATTTATAAATTTACTTAAAAAAATTTAAGTTAGAAAAATATTTGACGCCGCCGCCGATTTTTGTGGCGGCGTATAAATCGATTCGCCGCCGCCAGCCGATCATTTTAAAAAAAGAAACGCCGCCGCCGAAAATGCTATCGGCGCACATGTCTACTAATATCTATTTAATTATAGCTCATATTTTCATATATAAAAAAAATGGATGCCAAATTAAAAAAAATTGGTGAAATGATTAAGAGCAATGAATATGAAGTAATGGAAAATTCCAATGGCAAATCTGAGGTTTGGAAAAAGTTTTCATTTCTATTAAAAAAAATATAAAATCTTAATTATGTAAGTTGCAATTTTTATAAATATATGCTTATAATTCTATAACAACATACATAAAATATATGATATTAAATTATCTTAGGTATAAATCAACTAAAAAGGCATAAATGCGTATTTACAATAGAGTAAAAAGACTCAATTAACAATTGATAGCCTTTTTGGTACTAATCCCCAAAACTCAAAAGTTGTGCCAAATTAAAAAAGAGTGTACAAAAGTGCTCATCATGTTTTGTGAACGTGATTTGAGATCAGATGCAATTCATGGGGAAGGCTTTGTTGATTGTTGCCAATATTTTGCCAAAATTAGCTCAATATAGGAAATATTGATGTTAAAAGCATCATTCCAAATCCCAAGACAATTTATAGAAATTTAATGGATACTGCTGATGGTATAGGCAATAAATTATGAAATTAAACGCAGATATGAAAAAAGGTCGATGTACTGATAACAAATATATAAAAATATGGCTAAATCATTTATTTTTAGATTCGATAGTATTTTAACTTTATTATAATATTTTTTACAAATTAATGAAAATGCAACTTAATATAATATCTTGATTAGATTATGGCAATCAAATAAACTTTTATTTAAGGTGGCGATGGATAAATACACATAATTTTTTTTGGTTATATAATATTCAAATTCAAATTATAAAATTTTCGGGCTCGGATCGGGCTGGACTAAAAAATGTGTGCTCGGGCTGGGGCAAAAAGTTTTTTAAATTCGGGATCGGGCTGCGAAAAAATTACTTTGCAGACCTCTAATATAATCTATTTATAAATACTTAAAATTATTAATATAAAATTTCGATATTATTTTAAATATTTATTTTTATTAGTATTATATTATTTTTCAACTTGTAATATGAATCTTGTTACTTAATAAAGTATTAACGTAAATAATTTTTTTATATACTGATATATTCTGGTAGGGCTCTAATAAAAAATTGCTTAATTTAAGTAAACCAAAAGATCTATATATTTTATTATTTTGTGCCAATAAAGACAAAATCAAAGGATGAACTTGGTAAAAATATTTTTCTAATTATTTTGACAAGAATATCTAAAAGATAAAAGCTTATAAAGTGGCGTTATTCAATTTTTGATTTGGTAAAGGAGGTAAAGTTTTAGAGTTCAGCGTATATATATATATTATAGTTAATTATAGTAGAAAATATAAATCTATAAAGATAACCCCGACCTGTCAAAAAGGGGTATGGGGGAGAAGTCTCCCCAAAATGTTATATAAAATTTTTTAAAAATATAGACACTTTAAAAAAAAAAATTAGCACCTTTTAGCACCCCCTCCCTTTTATAAAAAGCTAGCGATGCCTCTACTATCTAATATTTTAATGAGCACGTAAAAAATAAAAAAAGTTCAACGCTACTATTTATAATCAAAAAAATAGCCTATAAAAATGTATCATTGCGTCTCTGATAAAATATGTTTAGAAAAAAGAGTCCTTATGATATATGTGGAAAGAAAGATGTAAATGAAGAAAGATAAACGCGATTTAGCCATAAGTAATGACACTTTATAGAAACCAGACTAATAAAAGTGCATATAGTTTAAAATGTTGTTATTATTCATTTTAAAGGGTTTATTTATTTTTCAAATATTTTTTGATTGCTTTAACAAAGTTGAACCCGAAGTAGAACCCGGAACTGTGTCAAATTTAGGAATCAAAACCACTTTTTAAAAATTATTTAGAACTGGAATCCTTTTACGTCCAAGTTCTAAACTATGAATATAACTCATATCTTTCTAACTTGATCATTACGGCAATACTAAGGCAAAAAAATTGATTAATCGTTTGCCCTATTTAAAATAATAGGAGCACGGGAGAGCTAATATTTTATAAAAAAAACACATATGGTAAACACAGGATTCTCTTATAAATGTATTATTAAGGTTAACATATTATTGCTATGGGTCATTATTTAATGATATCAACTAATTAAATTTAAATTATTTCCCCAAAATGACTCAACCCAAAAAACAATTTTCTCGAACCATCCCGAAAATAAATAATAATCATAATTTCTCAGATTTTTGCAGACCTCTAATTGCCGCTTAAATTAAAAAATTTTTCCATCAATTTTTCTGTAATTTCCCCACATTATTTTATCAGAAACTTTATATTACTTGTGTTCATATATTGCCTTCTAATTTGTTATATCATTTAAATTTTAGTTAAATTTATGTTTAGAGTTAAAGAGAAATTTTATAGGAAGCGATTAAAATATTTCTTGAATTTATCCTTATCGAAAATTTATAAATCATAATCATAATTAAAAACAGGTAAATTGTTGCATAAATTCTTAACAATTTTATTGGATATTTATAAAAAAAGTTAATTAACATTTTTTCAACAACCCCCTTCTCTAAAAAAAATCCGGATATTTAAATTTTCCGGTAGGACATAAGTAAACTTTAAAATAAATATCAAATAAATTTTTAAGGTAAAATTTAATATTTATTTGTCTGAAACAATTTTATATATCTTCCTCTACCAATGCCAAAATGCTAAATCGTAATTCATTAGGATTAGACATCATAACTTGTTTCAATGATTGCACACTTTTCTATAAATAGTTTAAACATTTATTATATAAAATAACGGTGGAATAAATATATATTATATATTAATATTTCACCCAACCGAAAAATTTTCAAAATGAAAGAAATGCTGAAGATAATGTTGACCTTAAAAGAAATAATTCAAACATTTAAATTTGATATAATTGTTTTATAAAAATTACAATGATTATTAGCATTACCTAGTTCGATTTAAAAAAATTTTTGAATCGAATTAGCAAAAATTGCATTTAGCCTAATTAACTTATAATTTGAAGAATTGGATGTAGAATAATGTAATAAGAAATATAAATTGTTATAATGATTCAATATCAAGATTTATAAAAAAAATGGCCACTACAATTGATACAATGTTTAGGCGGCAAGTTTTGAGTAATGAATATTTATTAATTCTTGTATTTAATCTCCCTAGTTTAGATTGAATTTTTTTATTCAAAAAAACCATGAAACTGGGGAAATACTTTGGTATAAAGCATTTATAGCAATTAATGATAAAGTTGTTAAAGATAGAGTTTAAAAAAAAAATTTTTTATCATAAATTGAAGTTTTATTTTCACTTACTTCTAAAAAGTTTTCATAATCATTGATGGTTGATAGACACATAGGTGTAGTGTTTCGGCCATCTAAAACAAAATAGTTTACAAAATAAAGAAAATTAGGTCTTTAAGTACCATTCATGAATCAAGAGGCACTTTAAGTTTTTGTTTTAAGACTAATAAAAGTTCCTTCCTCCCCTCCAGAAATAAATGAATAAAATATACAGTTGAGGTTCCTTATCGGCAATAGTAATCCGACAAAAATATAATGCCTAAAACCAATAAAATCTCAATAGGAAATTACCAAGCCCCTCTCCTCCTTAAGAAAATACGGATATACCTATCGTCCCATTTAAAATTTAGGAAAGTAAAAGGCTACGTAGGCGCAGGACTTCTTTGATAATTCAATGATGCCAATTTAAAAATAATCAGCAATCGGTGTATTTTTGTTAATTAAACTAATATTTATAATGATATTTTATAACATAATAAATATAGAATTCAAAAAAAAAATGATTCTAGCATTCATACATTATGCGTCCAGATTCGATTTCGTAAAGTTTAATAATAAATTATTTTTTTTTAAAATAAAATTTTGACTTTGGAAGCACCCTATAATTATTTTTGGGTTAAAATTTAAAACTTCAGATTTAAAAAGAAAAAAGAATTTCAGATATATTAGAAATAGGTATTGAAAATTCGCATGTTGAAACGTGTGTGAATGTTACCAACAAAGGAAAGGTCTAAATATTATTATGTATAATGGGATAGTGACATGAATTTAAATTATTTAATTCTGATTGGGATTTAGAGGAAAATCTCTTTGAAATTCTTAAGATAATTTTAAAATTCAGTAGACGTTTTTTTTATCATCTCAAAATGAATGTATCTTAAATATAAATTTAGCTTTAATATTCCATAGTATAATATCCGATTGATTGTCAATAATAATGACAACATTGATAATTTCTTCTCAAAATATATGTAATAAATTGAAGCATAGACTTTTATTAATTACTTATATTTAGGTATTAGTCACACTCAGAGATCTGGCCGGGTTGTATTTTAATATTTTAAATATACCTGGGCCGGGCTTAAAAAAAATAAAACCAAATATTTTAAATCGTCATTATTAGCTATAAAAATTAAAAATATATTTTAAAAAAATCGGTCTCTGTCCACACTATTAGACTCCATGTTTCAAAAGTTAAATATCGTAAATTATTATTTTAAATATGTTCCACTTTCATTCAATTTTTATGTCATTATGTGATTGAAATATTTTATTAAATATATGGAATGGTGGAATGTGCGGGGAAAGATATTATGAAGCAATTATTTAGATGAAAATCGATATTCTGAAATATATTGAATATAGGGCTGTACCGATATAAATGTCAGTTTAGGATAGGCGCTGATATTAGTCTTCAATCTTTTAATTTTTTTTCTATCATTCAGAAGTCTGAAATTAAAATTTATTCTCTTATTTTTATAAAGATAAACATACAATACTATAATTTTAATTATTTTATATTTCATTCTTATTATATTGATTGATATTTAATTTGTTTTAATTTTTTATTCAAATAAATATACGTAGTTTTTTATACAGAGAATTTAATAATATATAGTGTGCTAACATATAAATTTATATTTATTTTTATAAAGACTAAAATAGATAGTGAAAATGAACATTAAAAAAATTATATGGAACTATCTAATATATATAATCTCCATAATCAAAATATGATCGTTTTCGTATCTTCCTAATGTTTAAAATTTAAGGAGGCTATTTAGTGTAATGTTATTTTTTGCTCTCTACGAGAGTCGAACCACAAACCTCCCGTTTCAAAGTCGTATGTTTTAAGCATGCACCAACTTGTATAATTAAATTTAAAATAAGCTGATATTTTTAAAATTCTGTCATTTATAACCTAGTGTTGTTAAAAAACCGAGTTTAAGGTCGGAGCCGAAAAATTTGCTTAAGCTCAAGCCGGCTCAGGAGTTAGCTCAAGCCGGCTCAGGAGTTGGCTCGAGTCTAATTTTGAGCCAAAATTTATTATTTAAATATTTAAAAAGAATATAAATATTTTTTTTTGTTTTTAAATTTTTTTTAAACATAATCTATATATATAATCATCGTAATCAAGAAATGAACGTTTTCGTATATCCTTAATGTTAATTTTTATTTTTCTTATCAACTTTCCTATCTTCTTAATGTTAATTTTTCCTATCAACTTTCTTATCTTAATGTTAAATAAATCGATGGAGACTATATCTCTCTAATGTTAAATTTTAAGAAAATTTTTGGTACATAACGGGATTAGAACCCATGAATTAATGTTTTAAAGGCAAACGTTCTTCCCACTCAGCCACCTTCTATATTAAATTATTTAATATAATCTTTCTTATATATGTTATTGTTATGCAATTTTATTTTTATTGGCTTATTAATCTTTATTATTATTGGCTTATTAAGCTCTTATTTTATTGGTTTATAGTTATTTATATTATTTAATTTTAAAATCAATCATTTTTTATTTTAATTAAAAAATCGTAACGAAATGATTACAACAGGACATAATAGTACATCTGCCAAAGGCCTCAAAATATAGGAGACAGTAATTAAAAAGATGCTTAATTTTTGTAGATATTATTACAGAATAAATCACCAACAGGTTGGCACAAGATTTAAATCATGTTTGAGCTTACCTCTGGTTATCAGAAAATAATTTTAAAATCTCAACTAACCCATATTCAATCTGCATTTCACATGTTGATAATAATAACGAAATGATTACAACAGGACATAATAGTATATCTGCCAAAGGCCCCAGCATATAAGAGACAGTAATTAAACAGATGTTTAATTATTTTCTTTATTAACTAAGCAAACTATTTATTTGAAACAACAGGACATAATAGTACTGCCAAAGGCCCCAAAATATAGGATACAGTAATTAAAAGATGTTTAATTTTTATAGATATTATTACAGAATAAATCACCACCAGGTTGGCACAAGATTTAAATCATGTTTGAGCTTACCTCTGGTTTTCAGAAAATAATTTTAAAGTCTCAACTGACCCATACTCAATCTGCATTTCACACGTTGATATTAATAATGAAATGATTACAACAGGACATAATAGTATATCTGCCAAAGGCCCCAGCATATAAGAGACAGTAAATAAACAGATGTTTAATTATTTTCTTTATTAACTAAGAATATTTATTTATTTATTTGAGATTCTTAAGATACAGAATATTTAAAACTGTAGGTAGATATTGATAAATTGGTATTGTATGTCATTTCCAGAGTTCAAATATTGTTTTAAAATTTTTATACTGGCATATTTTGGGGTGGTAATATGAGATTAATGTTTATTTTTCAATTGGCTAAATATAAATTAAATTTATTCGTTAAATCTAATTTATAATAAGTACTTAGGATTAGTGAGGAAGGTTAATTTTCTGTAATGGGAAGATATTGATAAATAGGTATTTTAAAATTTGCAAAGTTCCCATATTGTGGTTGAGATAAAAAATATTTTTACTACCATATTTTGCGATGGTGAACGTATATTTTTCATAAAATCTTTATGTAAGGAGTTAATGTTTTACAGCGACATGCTTTTGATCAGGTTATCCAGGCTATTGCCGATACCTCAACTACTACCAGATTTTTCTATATAGATCCTCCTGGTGGATCAGGTAAGACGACATATCTTTATAATACTCTACTACACTATCTTAGAGGACAACAAAAAAATGTCTTACCCTTTGCTACCACAGGAATATCCTCTATACTTCTAACCTGTGTAGATTGCCCTGGGTTCAATTGCAACGATTTTAATCTTCCATCTCCTGACCCTATCACTCAATCTAATTTATATGATCCAATAATAAAAGCAGATGTCGCAATAATAATGTTAGCTAATCTATATGTTTTACGGCGACATGCGTTTGATCAGGTTATCCCGGCTATTAACGATACCTCAATTACTACCAGCTATTTTTATATAGATAATGGAAAAAAGAAATACTTTCAATCTCCTTATTTAATGGAATTTACCTCCAAATTTTAGAAAATTCACTGAATGTTCTCAAAAAAAAATTTCCTGTAATAGTTCATGATTTTTTTATTCCCGTCATTCTTGATGGGTTATCAACTAGTAATTTATATTATTATATTATGAAAATAGATTTATTTTTTGAATATTTTTTTTAATAAAAAAAAATGATATGCTGATATTGTAATATTATTTTTGTTACAATTTATTAGTAATTTTCATGTCATGTCCAAAATTTTAAGCAAAAATATTTTTTGAAAAAGATTTTTGAACATTTGATAAGAATTTTAAATTTTCTTTGTAATTGAGGAAATTTTTTGAGAATTTGATTATAAATAAGCAATCTTTTAGATGAAATCTTTTATAGTTTTTTTTATATCTTTGTAAAATTATCTATTTTTATGTATATTAAAAGAATTGGTTTTTTCTAAATTACTTTTTTAAAAATATTTATTTGCTAACATGTTTAAATAAAACTTCAGTGAAGATGTACCCTAGATAAGTGACAATTGTGATAATCGTTATTCTTGAAGTTTATTAAATTTTTTTGTCGCAAATGGGTATAAATATAGGTTGTAAACATTTTAAATTAAAATTTCAGTGAAGATGTACTATATATAAGTGACAATTGTCATAATCGTTTTTCTAAAAGTTTTTTATTTTTTTAACCCAAATGGGTAAAAATATAGATTGTAAACGGTTTGACTAAACTGCGAATGCTAAGGTAAACTGCGAATGAAAGGTAAACTGCGAATGCTTAGGTAAAATTTTTTATATATTATCTTTTATTTGTAGTGAGATCCATTTTCCTATGATATAAATAACTTATAAAAAATTAAATTTTTAGATATATTCAATAATAAAGAAATATACATTAATAGTTTAATTATCATTTATCTCATAATAAATCGTTTAAATCTTTTAATATAATTATATTAAAGATATTCAGGGTTGGGCAGTATCGCGGATATTTGTATCTAAGATACAAAATACTTTTGTATCTTGTATCTTTTTTA